ACGCTCGGCCACCGAGAACGTCACAGCCAAGCCAGGTTCAATTACCTATTTTAAGGAATGACATATTTTCTCGTTCAGCGTATCTCGAAAGCCTTTATTTCCTTACCCGAAATATAAGCAAAGTAATTTCTAAAGAATTAATGGATTCTGTTTTTAACCCGACATTATTTCTTATTATTTTAACGTTATATTTTAGTGGATACACGTGCTTGAGTAGACGCTCTGCTTTTTTAAACAGTGTACCGGCCTGTGAATTCGAGAGTCTTAATAAAAAGAATGTACTCTCAAGCAGAATTCGGACTTGTCCCCCTTTTGTAGGTTCAAACCCTATCAGAAGGTCCATTTTTTTTTAATTAATACTCTAAAATGTACAGACCGGTAGATATAATTCACTATGTTTAAAAAAAAAAAAAAAAAAAATGAAACCAGGAAAACAGAACAACTATACAAAGACGTTTCCACTAAAATATAACGTGGATTTTTTTTTCATTCAACATTACGTTCTGAGTATGACGATAAACTACAACCGGCAGCAAGATCGGGAGATTTTTGAGGAGCGTGGAATTACCACTTAATGGTTTTTTGTTCCCAGGTCCACTCTGACCCGGGGTAGTAGCACCTGTTAGGGACCCGTTATGGGAAAATAGGTAACCCCCAAACTGCGATGAAAACACTTTGAAAGTATAAAAATACATTTTTATAGTAAAATTTCCAACAATATATATATATATATATATATATATATATACTATTTATATATATATATTATTTATATATTATATATGCGCGGTACTTATTGGAAAGCGCTCAATATCGGTGATAGAGTTATCTGACGATCGCAAATAGGGTGAAACCCAGGGTCACAAACTCACGTCAATCCAAATATATATATATATATATATATATATATATATATATATATATATATGCAAACAATAAATTTTAATAGTAAAACAATAATAGGAACGTCTACTCAAACACGTGTCCCAACTAAATATAACGATATAGTCGTAAGAAATAATGTCGGATTAAAAAAGTATATGAACTGCGACGCGTTTATCTTTCGCTATTATTTTGGTATCTACTAAATCTCTCAATCGACAAGGCTAAAAATGTTTTACGTCAATCACGACTTGAAAATAAGTATTCGACATCTTGGATTTTGAATAAAACCGAACATTGAACTCTAGCACCGTTGTCCTGATCAATCTTTTAGAGAAATAACATTGAGGCAACCTGCTATTAAAACAGATGTCTCCAATAAAATAAACATTGACAAAGTGTTTCTTCCTGACCTGCTGTCTTTCCTAAATTAACAAAAAAATGAGACGTGTTCATACAGTTCCTTAGAATCATCTCTTTCCAAATCTCTTATCGGCCACACCCTCCCGCGAAAGGGGCTTTGGCAATCAACACTCACTATTTTGTCATTATCCCCACCCCCCACCGCCTCTTTTTTTTTTTCTATTGTTAATCCAGCTTTGGATAGTTTGGAGTAGATATCCTTATTGAGCCGAAGAACATTGACTTAAAATGGATAATCTGTCTAAACTCGTCCGGGACCAGTCGAAACAAACTGAAATTAAACAAAAAAGCGACCCCAAAAAACAACACACACGCGTACAATGAGAGTGAGTGAGTGAAAGAAAGAAAGCAAGAAAGAAAGAAAGCAAGCAAGAAAGAAAGAAAGAAAGAAAGAAGGGACACATGTGCAGAGGCGGAGGCATTACCCATGTAGTCACTACGAAAACGGTCTTCCGAGTTAGAAATATGAGGGATATTTTTATGGCGCGCCTACACTGGGAACTAACTAGAGGATGACCGCCAACATTAGCCTTGAAATAGATACCCTAACCAACCTGAGCAAAACCTCTCAGAAGATGATGAATCTATAGATAAGAATTAACTCTCTAACCACTTAACGAAGAAAACGCGCCTAGCCACTGCCACAATAACGAATGTTATAACGAACCATGCCTAAAAACACACGTAAACCAAGAGATAGCTTATTCCTAAAATTTCGCTTGAAGATGAAACGGGACTAAACACCTCAATTCAACTTAATTTTAATAATTATTTGGATGGTTTCGGCTCTCGTTTTTGAAACATGAGAACTCTTATGTAGCGAAGGAATTTTTTTTTTAAACAAAAAAATATTATAAGCTCTACTTCTGTATGGAGCACTGTCTTCTTAAAAATAAAAACAAAAATACTAAGGAACTCCGGATTATGCACCCAACGTGTTCTTTTCTATTTTCTGCATACCTACGCACTTATATATATATATATATATATATATATATATATATATGATAAAATATAGTTTTATGGTATGCTATATTTATGGCTTAAAATACTCAATATCAAGAATAGAGCGTATGTAAATATAAACGTGATCATTGAAGTCCCGATGGCCTTTTTTTTGTTTTGTACACACACACACACACACACACACACACACACACACACACACACACACACACATACATAGATATTAATAATTACACATATACCTAGGTTTATAGTACGACTCAGAGGAACCATGGAAGTCTGCGGCGTACTGTAAACGCAGGTATATGTGTAATTATTAATATATACTTTATAGCTCTGTTTAACTACACTGAGCACTGTTTTGTCTACACCATTGAATAAATAAATATTTGCTCACCTGTATGTGTAAATAATCATTCACATATATAGTTGATCATATCTCTTTATCCATTTCTACATCTATCTATCTCTCTCTCTCTCTCTCTATATATATATATATATATATATATATATATATATATATATATATGATATAACGATATATAATTTTGTATAATTTTATATATCAACAAACAGTATTTAGAAAAATATGACAAATTGAAAAGTTTTTTTTTTTTTGACACGTTTCATCCGTTAGGATTTCATCGGACTGGCCTTTGTTGACGTTGCCACGTCTACACATGCGCACGAAATGGGGGCGCAGGTATATATATATATATATATATATATATATATATATATATATATATGTGTGTGTGTGTGTGTGTTTTCCACGTATGATGGTTCTACACCATTTTCCACCTTTGTATGCCTACTTATGTTTGTGCCTTTGATGACATTTAAGGCCAGTTTGAGACCCACACAACATTCCTCATACAGGACAAGGAACAACACCTCTTGTGAAGGCTGCTGGAATGTTAGAGCACAAGGTTTATTGCCTTTTCGAGAACCATCATGCAATACGTGAGAATTTTCGGTGTCATTTCATCAGTCATGAGCCAGCCCGGGAAAGTTGCGAATGCCCTAGAAATGTCGCCATGTCTCTAATTTCACATTATAGACGGAGGTTGCTTCGCCGTAAAGTTGTACTCGGCAACTTCGAACACAAATTCTCCAAGTCCTCATTCTTCAGGTATTCCAGACATTTCAGTTCCCCTTTTTTTATTCCGACTACAGGTGTCATTGTTGTTCCCATTTTCCTTAAATTTTCTTGTTGCTCCCTCTGTGGTATTCTCATCATCATACTACTGAACTACATGTTGCCTCAAGTCTCTTCTTCATCTGTGAGGAGATTGTCCAGCATTCACTGCTATAAAAAAGGACTGATATTACGTAACAGTTCAGTAACCTTTCCTTTATTTTTAACAAAGTTTTCCAATAAACTGCAGTTATTTTTCTTTTCATTTGAATTGAATTATTATCTTAAACTAAAAATACAGGGTGCGATAGATTGTCATCTAAATTGCGCAAAAATGAAAATAACACTGACATCTCATTTTAACAGATATATTTACCCAAATTATACAAAATTTTCTTGAAATACTAAAGAATAAATTTGTTCAATAAAATCGCCATTGGCTTCAACCACGGCATCCAAACGACTTCTTGTTTAAGTTGGTAACTTCTATTTCAGTTAATCTTTGGTGTTACAAGGAATTTTGCTGGTCATTCGCTCAACTGAGCCCCACACATAATAATCAAAGGGGAGTTAGATGACCCGATGTAAGGGGTGATGTGGCCGCAGAAATTGCCTGACATTCATGACTGAGTTTTCCTGTTTGTGTGGCATGGTGCAGAGTCCTGTTGCCAGATATAGGGTCTTCCAGTACCCAGCCTCTTAACCCAGCACTACCTCCTCAAGACACTCGATGTAGGCATCTGTGTTTGAGTCTGAGGCCATCACCAACAAATTCGGAAGTTTTTCTTATGCGAACGATTAGAGTGAGTTTTCCGAGTTGCTTTACCTTCGTAATCACTATTAGACTCATCCAACTCTTTCCGAATCCTCTGTACTGTCCTCAGATTGACACCCAAACACACTGAAATGTTTGTATTGGAGCTTTCGGTGCGAATACCAAGCAGTGCAGTATCTCGTTTCTAAATTTCTGGCGGAGTGAATAGCATCATGTTCTTTTTCTAACAGACGATACCCAACTGAAATGACTATACTGTGTAGTCGACAAAATCAAAAACAAACAACGCGCATGCGCGAAATTAAAAATATAAAATGGCGGCAATTTACCGATGGCACCCTGTATATTCTGCTTAAAATGTTGCTTAAACAAAATAATCAATTTACAGAGACCCCTTAGGTAGGCTCCTCGACGATTTTTCTGCTCTTCTTGCCTTCCATAGGTCCTGTGAGTTTAAACTCTCAAAGCCCTCGTTCCTCATTATATATCCCAGCTGTTTGTTTTTAATGTAAGTGTATGTGTTTTTTTCCATTTTCCTTAACACTTTTTCGTTGCTCACATACTACTTCTTTGGTATGCTCATCATCCTTCTGTAGAACCGCATCTTTGTTACCTCAATTTTCCTCTTTATCTGAGAAAAAAAAGTCCAGCATTCATTGTCATATATAGAAGGATTAGTACTACAGAGCAGTTCAGTTCTCTATTCTTTGTTTCTAACGAAATAAAACAAAAAGAAAAAATTCCTTTATTTTTATTTTTACTAACCTTGTTTTTCCAGTATTTTGGCATAAATGACATGATAAGGTGTCCGAGTTCATGACAAAGGCAATTTTCACGCGATCGGTACGGATCTTGATCATCACAGAGGACCACGTGATCAAGGCACACACTTCGAGACAGGGTCAATCCGGCTACTTGTTCATACTTGCGTCCATCTAATGTGCACGTGATCTGACACTGGCCGTCACACCTGTCTGCAAAGTACAGAAAGAAAAATAAATAATTAAAGAGAAATCACTGAAAATAAAGATTTACGTGAGAATTCGAATGGGTACGAATGTTAAGGTTCATACCTTTTAAGTTATCATTAAATAACCTAATTGACCAGCAATTTGAAACCTCAGCACACACACACACACACACACACACACACACACACACACACACACAACACAAATATATATATATATATATATATATCAGTAGCGATTCTACGTCAGCAATGTAATCGGGCTCATTACAATCTTTAACAAAATATACTATTGTTATAACTTTGATGCTTAAATGATTCCTTTTCACTCTAACTAAAATATACAATTTTTAAAAATCTCTGTACATGAAATTAAAAAAAAGCACATTTTGGTATTTTAATATTAATTGTAATAATTCTATAAAAATAAACATTTATTTAAAAAATTTTCCAGGCATGTAAGAAACAAATGAATATATATATATTTTTTTTATCATAACATGTGTATCTATCTCGAATGTATGTTTTTATATATGTCTACGCATTAGTGTGCTTATGTATCTTTCTGTCTGTGAATTTTTAGTTTAATTTATTGTACAACTTTATGATCAGTACTGTTGACTAATATCATATTTCCTCAACACTATCTCAGTCACACTCTTCACATGACATGTTAAGGCTGCCATCTTATTTGGTTTTCGCCGAATTTAAGGTCAGGCGAAATTTAATTTGTACTTTCTCAAAAGATATATTTCGCTAAAAAAACTTATACTGTACAGAAAAAATTCTTTAAAATGGATATGTGGAAACAATGAATTGAAATAAAAATCTGTTCTTTGAAAACCGCATACAAGTCATTAGATATTTTTGAAAGATTATATATAAAATCAAAGCATTACTATTATGAGTATCTCCAGCTTCGATCAGACTCAGACCTACTCGGCCTGACTAAACACATTAATTTTTTTTTCTTTCTTTATTTCTTTTTTTCTGAACAATACCAACGAAATGTATTTCGGTCAATATTTTGAGTCACGGAGTTAAAACAATATTGGATCCAACTGAAGTCAAGAATGAAAACAACTCACTATGAAAAATTTTTGTTGCTTTGAAATAGATATACTTGGATGTTGACTCACTCGGGCTAAACCCGACAAGCCCGACCAAGTCGCTACTGATATATATATATATATATATATATATATATATATATATGAGGGCGTTGAGACAGGACATTAACACTGGGATATGTAGCATGTTGCAAAAATATAGTTTGCGGTGTTCTGAATTCAGTAAGAGACGACGGGTCCATCCAGATTTTTTTTTTCAGGTAGGCTTGGAGTCGGCAAACTACACTAACGTTGATTTAAAAGAGTCGAATGCACGTGGTACATGACTGAAACAGCATAAAGGTGAAAATTTCTGAATTTCTTCATTTTTCATCCTATCTCATTCTCTGACGAAGCTTTAATGAAAGTGAAACATGTTAGATTGATAAACGTTTCCTATTTGTTCTTTATCTTATCGTATATATATATATATATATATATATATATTCAAATATCATCGTCGTCAATTTCTCCGTAGAGTCTACTTCTAGTGCGCGACACATTTTGAAAGTGCTTGTAAATCATACCACGGATTAGCACAAGCCCTGTGAGTGAAAGTGGGTAAACGGAATCGTTCGAAAGCCACCAATGGTTGTGCTAACTCTAAACATGTTGGATAAATGGCCACTTCCCTGTGTAGCTCCAGTAAGCATTTGATATCTCCTGCTATCATCCTGTACCTTTACAAGAGCCCGATCAGGCCGAAAATGGAGTACTGCTGCCATATATAGGAAGGAGCTGCCCAGTCTTCACGTTCCAGTGTCGATAGAATTCAAAAGCGTCTCCGCGTCCTTGTGGATGATGAATTATTTTCCACCCGACAACCCCTTTGCCACAGAAGAGACGTGGCAAGCCTTTTGTTACTTTATCGATATTTCGTTGAAAAATATTCAAACGAACTACATTCCTTAAATGCACCAGTTCAAAGCTTGACATTTTAGCGTAATTCCCTTCGAATTACTTAGATGTAAGTTCCACTCGAACAGCCTCTTACCACGAACCTCTACCTCGGTGGAACCGGCTCCTAACAGAATGCGCTTCCCAGATTACATTAACCTTAACCCGTTCAAATCCGCAGTTAACCGTTATCTTCCCCCACATATCCTCATAAACTATGATTCTTACTCTTCAATTCTCTACCCTGAGTAGCTCTTGGGCCTTGTACAGGGTGAACATTATTGTAAAAATATATTTATTAATATGCGTTCTCCTCCAGAAATTCTAACTGAGATCTGCTTAATAAAGTTGCGGTATAAGCCAGAGAAGTGCTTTATGATATCGTGTACTTTTGCCTATTAATATAACGTACCATAAAACTATATTTTTGATCACACACACATACACACACACACACGTATGCATACATACATATATATATATATATATATATATATATATATATATATATATATATCAGAAAAGAATAAAGATTGTTCTTAGTCAATGCGTTTCGTCCTCTGAGAGACTTTATCAAGGCAAAGGGAAGATATTTGCTTTGATAAAATCTCTCAGAGGACGAAACGCGTTGGTTAAGAGTAGTTTTTCCTTTTTACTCATTTTGTTTCTTTTAAGATACACTCTATCTCAAAATAATTTACACACACACACACACACACACACACACACACACACACACACACACACACACATATATATATATATACTTTTAAAATCAGGAGTTCAGTTGAATCCGCTACCTTGTTTTCAACCTTACGCTATCCCCAGACGATTTTTTATCAAATGACCTCTTAACGCTTTATTAAAAAAAAAAAAAACTAATGAACACTATATTATTTTTTTAAAATAAATAAAGAACCTTTTGAACCAGAAATCCGAAGTCTTGAGTCCTTGTATACATATTAAGAAATTCCTCTTCAGCACATATCAGGCTGGATAAAAAAATGACAATTCAATTACTAACCCCACCAATGATTTTATAATACACTTGCTTTTCTTCTCACCACATTCTTCTTCTTCTTCTTCTTCTTCTTCTTCTTCTTTACACCCTCCGTCTCCCTTTCTATTACACCTAATGTCGTGCGTCTGTTTATTTACTTTTTTAACAAAAATAATATATCGTTCATTAATATTTTTTACAAAGAAAGCGTTAAGAGGTCATTTGATCTCCAAAGTAGCGGATTCAACTGATTTGATTTTTAAAGTTAAAAGCTCTACATGCTATTTTTTCACACGTGGATTGAGCATTTTTTTTAATACCACTTATTTACTAGTCTGATTCAACTCTGACCATTAACCTTTAATCTGTATTATATATTCATTTATTTTCGTTTACAGGCTTGAATATTCAAGAATTCGTATATATAAAAAATAAATCTAATATGATATATATATATATATATATATATATATATATATATATATATATATATAGATAGATAGATAGATAGATAGATAGATAGATAGATATTTAAGCATGATGAGAACGAATAGAGTACACTGTTACGAACGTTGGAAGTGTTCTCTATTCAATCTCATCGTACTTGATATATATATATATATATATATATATATATATATATATATATATATATATATATATATTACAACAAAAAAAATGTAAGAATCGCTACACAAATGCAGTCGTATTTCAACGCATTACGATCCGTCTCCTCAGGCGATTATAAATTACTGGCGGTGAACAATTAATTAGTTTCAAAAGTACGTTATGCATTGAAACACGACTGAAATTGTGTACCAATTCTTACATGTTTTTGTTGTAATATTCTATTATATATATATATATATATATATATATTATCTCTCAACGTTAGCACGACTAGGGGTTTCATGCACAACGCAATCTTCAGGTGCTGAGTATAGAATGACCGTTACGTAATTTAGATTATAATAAAAATATCTGGTTACCGCAATGTTAAAGCAGTCATATATTATACAGGGATTACATTTCTTTTTATTTATAAAATATATTTGGCACTTAAAATAAACAGGATATATATATATATATATATATATATATATATATATATATATATATATATATATATATATATATAGTGTATAGGGACTGCAGATCATTATTCAAACATTGTTAAATATAAAAGAAAAACGAATGTCTATTATGTTTGATCATGATCCGTTCTAAGCTTCGTATAATGGCTTTAGTTTCGGGAGTTATCTCTGGTACTAAGAATAAACCCACTACATATATTGGTTTTACTACAACCACACTCTCACGTAGACCTACTTATCACCTTTCTGATCTTAGTTCTCTTAAACAACATTTCTTAGGAAAACATCGCCATGTACATAATATTAGACAGATATTAGTTAATAACACAACAATACTCACACATACTCACAGTAAAAGGAACCTTAATATACTGGAGGCAATCTCCATGAAAACAAAGCAACCCACACTCAAGAAAATTACATTTCAAACCAGTCACAACATATTACAATGCTTTTAAACGGATGGTTCTGTTGATAATATTTCTTTCTCCCACGTGGTCATGTATGACGTCATAGAAGCGCATTACGAATTTAAGACCTGCGTCTGCTATTCCGCGATCATTCATAGTCACATAGCAAACTTCTATTTAAACATAACAGGATGGCATTTTTGATGATGATGATCTCTAGTGTAATGTTCATATAACCACTCTGATGATGATGGTTCATGTAATCTGAAAGCTGATATCGATGAACAGCATAAATAATAAAAAATATCCAAATGTTGGACTGACTTTGTCTTTATTTTCTCCCGAAACAAAAGCCACTATACGAAGCTTAGAACGGCTCACGATCAACCATAATGAACATTAGTTGTTTGTTATATTTAAC